CACATGGGACTGGGCCTCTGTGGAGAAGGCCTGGTCCCTCACTGCAGACCCAGTGCCAGCATCAGCTGGCATGTGTGGATATCTGCCAGCTGAACAAACGGAGGAAGGAATGACTGGGAAAATGTCCCTGTGCTGAGACATCCCACAGTCAAGGAGCACATGGCTTCTCCTAGAAGCTGGTCAGTGAAGACCCCAACTCAGGAGAGCCTAAGGTACTTGGCCAAGGGGGACTTAGATCCCTGAGATCTAGGTCTCATCTTGGAAACTAACATTAAAACCCAGAAAGAAGGTATCAGGCCAGGGTCTCTGCAGCCAGGCACCTCCAGGACAGGAAGCTCAGCCATTGCGGGGTCCCCCGGGGTGGGGGGGGAACAAGAAAAAGGCTGTGGGGCGGGTAGAGGGGGTGGGAGTCAGAAACAGAAACTAAAGAGCTAGAAAGAGATGAGAGAGACATAGAGAAAGATAAACAGAGAGTATGAACGATGGGAGAGGCAAGCCCGGGGGGGTGGGGAGAAGCCAGCAAGGACGGGAAGAGAGACAGAGGCTTGGCAGCATCTGCATGGGGCAGGTGTGGGGCCCTTGTGAGTGCAGACTTGGGGGATGGGGGTGCCCAGGCAGGGCCCCCTCCTGCTCCACCAGAAGGAGACACTTGCTGAGAGAGGCCAGGTCAGGAACCAGTCAAGGAACGGTGGTCCCCATCTGCAGAAACTGCAGAAGGGGCAGAGTACAGAGGGGCACACAAGCAAGATGGGAAGAGCAGAAAGGGGGACTGTAGGGAAAGAGGTAGAGGAGGAGGAAGATGGGGAGAAGGAGGAGGGGGAGAGGAGGGGGAGGTGGCTTCAGGCAAAGGGAGGTGTCTGCGAGGGTGACCCAGGCACAGGGCTTGGTGCACAGCAGGTTTTCAGACAGAACTGGAGAAGGGAGAAAGAGGAACAGGAGGAGCACACCAGAATTACCTGATCAAGTGATAGCTGTGAGATGCCAGAGTGCAGCAGAGAGAGGGGGGAGGTGGGGAGAGAGAGGAGGGACATGCACCGGGTCAGAGCAGGATGGGACAGAGAGAGAACATCAGTCAAAAGTAAAACCCCGGCCCCTTGGTTCCTGGCTGGGCTGGGGCCCCAGGCTGGCCCTGAACCCTCCCCCAGACCGACCACACCTCCCACTGTGACCAAATCCCAGATGTCATCCTGAGGGGTGGGAGGTTTTTATCCTGGCATGAGCCAGTGCTGGTGGGCACCCATGCCTGGGTTATCAGGTGAGCAGGCAAGCCTGCAGAGGAGCCGAAGGTCACCAGAGTCCACACAGCAAATCATGGCAGAGCTTGGTTCTGGGCTCCCAGCTGGCTCTTCATTCTGGAAGCAACCCAGCCTCTGGCTGAGGGACGATGGGCTGGGGGCCACTGGGAGTCCTTCCTGCTCCCCTGGTCAGGCCTTCTCCTGGCTGAGGACCCAGGGCTCAAGGGTAGGCTCGGGTGGGGGTTGGGCCTGCCCGAGGTCGGGAAGGCATGGAAGTGGTCAGTGGTCAGAGCCTACTCACTTCTGGAGCACGAAGATGCCAACAATGAGGGTGAAGGAGATCAGGTCGGCGGTGACCCACATGAGACAGTACTCGTCCGGGTGCTGTGGACAGATGGCCAAAGGCCAGCTTCTAGTCATGGCCTGTCTAGACTGAGGCTCCAGACTAGGTCCACAGGCCAGAGAGCCCTACAGGACCATTGAGGAGGGGCAGGGGAGCACCTTAAGGAGTCTCGGAGGCTTGAGATTGTGGTATTTGGCAGTGGGCTCTGGGCACAGTGGGCCTGGAGTTGGGGTGGGTGGATGTGTGTGTGCATGCAGGGTATAGGAGATCTGTATGGTGCTCAGGGTAGAGGTGCTGTCCGTTAAGCCTGGAGGGTCTGTGTGCCTAAGAGGTCTCAAAGCAAGAGCTGAATAAAGAAGGGCAGATACAGTCATCCCTTGGTATCCATGGGAGATTTGTTCCAGGACCCTCTGCGGATACCAAAATCCACGGATGCTCAAGTCCTGATATAATATGGTGTAGTATTTGCATATAACAAATGCACATCTTCCTGTACACTTTATCTGTAGATTACTCATAATACCTAATACAATGTTAATGCTATGTAAATACCTGTTATACCGTATTGTTTAGGGAATGAAAGAAAAAATGTCTCTACATGTTCAGTACAGAAATTTTTTTTTTTAAATGTTTTTCATCCATGGTTAGTTGAGTCCAGGGTGCAAAACGCATGGATACAGAGGGCCAACTATGTATGAATTCGGGGGTTACCTAGCAGGGGGGCACGGGAACCTGCAAACAGGCGTGTGGCATCTGTGTGGCGTAAGAGTACACATGTCACTTCTCTAAGACCAGAGGCTGTGGAGCGTGGAGGCTTCCCCTCCAGGGGGGTCACAGAGGGGGCGGGGGAGGGCAAAGGCCCCAGAGAAACCTCAGGCCGCCTCACTTTCAGGCAAACTGGGAAGGAGGGGCCGGGGGTGGCACCTCCTGCTTTTGGTCAGCTCCCTGTGGCCTGAAAACACCAGCGCTCATCACGGCTGCTGCCATGGTCAGTAAGTTATTTCATGTCCTTCTGGGTGGAGCCTTGCAGGTTCTTAGGGACAACAGGCAGGTGAGAGCTGCAGGATGCTCTTTAGGGTTGTGAAAGGATTGTGATGAATTCTGGTGTGTGAAGCCAACTGGCCAGGTCCCCGTTTCCTCCTCTCCTTGATGACCCTCTTTTGGCTTTGTCCTTCCCTCTGTCCATCATTCCCACCAGTCTCACTCCCTTCCCCTGGGCTGTGTCCCCTTCACTGTCCTCTCCTACATAACTACCCATAACTTTGATCTATTGACCTCTTAGCCATAAGCAGACCCCCCACCTGCCCTCCGTGTCCTCAGGGAGGTGGCAGTGGAGGGACGGCCCCAGTACATAGGAGGGAGACCAAAGCCCCGCCAGGGGCACAGCAGGGACTAGAACTGTCTGCTGGTGTTCAGTCAACCAACAGCAGAGAACAGCTGTTCTCTGAGCACATTTTTTTTTTCCTTTTTGTCTTTTTCTCGTGGCCGGCAACGGATCGCAACCCTCAGTGTCGCGCCCGTACCGTACCGGGGACCGGCAACGGGATCGCAACCCTCGGTGTTGCTCCCACGCCTCGCTCAGCCAGTGAGCGGCCGACCGGTCTGTATGTGGGATCCGAACCCTCGGCGGGAGCGCCACCACACTTCCCAAGCGGCGCACTATAGCAGTGTGCCACCGGGCAGGCCCTCTGAGCACATTTTAATGTTCCCTGTTCTTGTCCTGTTGTCACTCTCTTTTTCCAATGACTTCCCTCCCTTTAAAACAAAATACAATAAATAACATCCCAAACCAAAATACCCAAGTAGTCGTTTACTTCTCTAGGGCCCTTAAGTGACGTTCTTACCCCTGTGGGTCAGACCCAGGGTCTTCCCAGCACCTTAGTGAAGAGCCCAGAGGCCGTGAAAATCCTCCTCATGCCTCAAGTCTGTACCCCCGACCCATGGACTCCCCCACCCTCTGAGAGCTCACCAGGGAGAGCCCCAAGTGCACAGCTTGCTGAGTGGTTGGGGCAGGCCAACTCTCTGTACCCCTCCCCCTGTGTCCTCTGTCCCCAACAATCTCCCAACTCACCATGATCCAGAGGGGGGAAGGCACCTGGGACAGAGTGTGGGAGTTGTCAGAGGTGACAGATGGGACCCCTGCACACCACAGCAGAGAGAAGAGCCACGGTGTGTTGATGGTGTAGAGGTTCACACTCAGGTTCCAGGATGCGTAGTCCCTGTGGAGAAGGGAACAGAGGCTGATCGGCCAAGTGGATTCTGTGTCTGGGCCCAGTGTGGGAAAGTATGTCCCCTTCACAACCTCATGCTGTCCTCACAACTACCCCTGGAGGAGAGAATGTCCACTCCCAGAGGACCAGGTCTGCCCGATGCTCTCAGCCTCTCATCTTTGAGCCACGTGTGCCTGGTCACCTGTGTGCCCAGCCCTCTGCCTAGCTAGGCAAGAGCGACAGGCCTGGGGGAGAATCAGTGCTTCCCTCTTTGGGTAAAGCCTGGGGTAGGGCGAGCACCTGAGCTCCTGGCGGGACACCTGAGTGTAGCGCAGGTTCAGCCGCTGGATGTGGCCTTTCCGCAGGCTGGCGACCGCCTCCTTGGAGCCCGACGTCTGCTGGAAGCCGGGAGCCACCTTCCGCACCAGGGGCCTCTGCCTGTTAGGCAGCCACATGACCTGTGACAGGAGAGGGGCAGACTCACGCTTCTCTTCTGCAAAATGCAGTAGAAGCACCCACCCCTCCTAACACACCTGGAAGGTTAAAAGGGCTGGGACTTGGCACAAGATAAAAAAGCTTAGATAGAATCATTATCAGGGGACGACTGAGTTCCAGCCACGGTGCTGAAGCACTCTGCCAACAATGGAAGCTTCCCTTCTGGACTGCTGTCACGACAAGATGGATAACCCAAACGTCCCTTACTCTGCACATGGCCACCAGCATCTAGAGTGTCATAAGTTGGTGTCAAGATTCCTCTGGTCCCAATTATCACACCATGATGAAGTAACCAGAGAACCTGGACCTGCTCTTGCCCTTCCTACATTTTAAAGACTTCCTTGTTCCCCCCTTGTCCCCACAATGACCCTGTCAAGGCCAGGGGCATTTTATAACTGTGAAAGGAGCTGAGGCTGGACGGTGCTGGGTGGGCTGGGCCCCACCTGGTGCTGGGGGAAGCCGGAGCGCAGCAGGGCCTCCAGGGTGACGTTGAGGAAGCCGGCGCGGTAGGGGTGCTCCCAGGGCAGCTCGTGCAGGTTCAGCAGCAGCGTGGCGTTGCCCTTGGCCAGCTCCAGGAGCTCCGCCAGGCTGCAGATGGACTGGTTCTGGGCCTCCCTATGGTCGGAGGGCGATAGGGAGTCGGCCGTCCAGAAGGGGTCAGTCTGGCAGAGACAGGGACGCATATGGCTGTGTCACCAGCCCTCTGGGGCCCCCACGTGCCTTCCTGGAAGAGGGAAGAGATCCCTGGGCTGCCAGTGTCTGCTGGTGTGTGTCAGGTAAATTGATGACTGTGACCCTGTGGGGGGTGCAGGAGTCCCACCCCTAACCTTTCTACCCCACACCCTGCTTACCAAGAGTGATTTGCTTGGAATGTCTCCCAGAACCCCAGCTTGTTTCTCCTTTAGTAGCATTTCAGACCAGAGAACCAACCTCCCTCTAGAGTTTCACAGAGTTAACAATTCTAACCATTAACTGTCATCATCACCATCAACTATTTCTGGTAAGGGTGACAGACCCAAAACAAGCAGTGACAACCATAAGGTTTGGGACACAGTGGCAGGAGCCCAGAGGAGGCTGCTCACCAGCCTGGCTGTGGGTCAGGGAAGCTCTGGGAGTGGGGTCACCAGAGTTACTGGCTGCCCCTGTCTCCCTCATGCCTCGGGAGGCCCTGCCACGTTTAGGACTGGGACTAGCTGCAGTCAGACCTTCAGGAACCACTGGCCAGCGTTGAGCCTCTGTAGGACAGTCCAGTTGAGCATGGAGGCAGGCCTGCGTGCGAGCTCCGGGAACAGCTCCTGCACATTGGTGGTGCGCCGCAGGGTGGTGTCATGCATGAGGAAGGGCACGCCGTCCAGGCTGTGGGGAGGGGGCCTACTAAGTCCCCACCCTCCCAGGTCTCACACCCGCCACTGGTGACCCCCACCCCCACACTCCTCCCCAGCCACCGTGGGAACTGGCTGGCTCTGCTCCCTCAGGCCTCAGAGTCCCCATCTTCACAGGGAGGACGGTGGGCTGGTGGGTGACCCCAAAGGGCCAACACCCTCTGGCTCTCTATGAGGGTCAGATGGGAGTGAGGACCACCAAGGAGGGAGGGCTGGGAAAAGGCTGTGCCAATTCTCTTAGCGAACTTGGAAGGTAGATGCTACCTCGTTTGATAATGGGGAAACTGAGGCAAGGAGAGGAGCTCAAGGCCCGTAGCCAGTAAGTGGAAGAATGTGGCATGGAACCAAGTCCATGTGAAACCATAACGAGAACAGTGCAATACAGGCCCCTTTGACAGATTCCACCCTCACCTCCACCACCATCTTTGTCTTCTCACCACAGCTGCCAACGTGAAACAGTGAAGGGCACCTGTGCGCCCCTCCCCACTATCCCTCAAGGCGTTTTACCACCACCTGCTAGAAAGCTGTGAGAAATACACAGTGCTATGATGTCTACGCTGGGACTAATGTCCTCACAAATGCGGTGCCCTTGTTCAGCACACAACCTGTGCAACTATGTATGGCAGGCTTCCCCATCCCCTTCTCAGAGATAACCTCTGTAATGAGATGCCTGCTGTTTACTCTAATACATACTCATATATCTATGTGTGGAAAATATATACATCACTGTGTGTAGTCTTGTAAAGTATAACTGGCATCACAGTGAACACACACCGCTCTGCAACTTGCTTATTTTTCTCACCAGAGTATTTGAGCTCTATCACGCACAGCCATATGGGTCTCGTTTTTCCTTCAAGTGGATCTGTGGCAGGGCTCCGGTCCCCCCCTTCCCCCCGCTTGAATCAAGAGTATCTGTTCTTTCCTCTACTTTATATCCTGGAGTTTGGCACCAGATTCAGTTGCACGAACAGGGTGCCTGCCCTGCCATGGATAATCCAAGTCACCACCCTCCCATCTCCAAGGCTCTGGGACCAGAGGTTCCACCAACAGAGACCCAGATGCTGATGCCTGGGCAGGGGAGGAGGTGCTGTCCTGCCTCTCCAACACCTACCTGATGGTGACGTCGGCCTGGAGCCCATATAGCTTCTGCTGGAGGGCCTTCTGGAAGGACATCAGCGTGTGCTCTGGAGCCAGCTGGGAAGGTAGGGTGGTGGAGGGAGAGCCAGGATTCTGCTGATATATCCCTCCCTAGCCAGTGGAGTCTTCTGTGTTGGAGGCTGGGGTAGGCCTTTCTCTAATTCTGTCTCCTACAAAGGGTAGCTGTGGGACCCTGGGCACCCACTCAGCTTCTTGAAGTTCAGTTTCTTCATCTGTTAAGTTATGCCTGCCTCACGGGTATTTTTTTAGGGGGATGGGGCAGCAGGGGTAGTTAGTGTCAATGTATATAAGTGCCTAACATATAGCTAGCACTTAATAAGTAGTAGCTATGACCATTATATTATCATTTCTGTATTCCAGGCACTGACCTAGGCATTGGGGACCAGAGGGCTTTTATACAAAAAAAAAAAAAAAAAAGCATGTGACTCTGTGGCAGCCTTGGGCTGGCGCTGAATGCAAAATCCCCTCGTTATACCCTGAGCTGAGTCTACGTGGAGATCCTGGAGGGAGGGGAAAGGGCAGGTGGGTTGGTGGAGTTTCAGTTGGGTAACTAGTTTCCTCATCTATCCAAACATGACAATAGCATATCCCTCCCTGGACTCTTACATGGATTAAAAGTTTCTAGCATGTTGCCTGATATACAGTGTTTAAATAAATGGCAATTGTTAACTCTCTAGCATATAAAGCAGAGGATCCTGGTTCTAGCTTTGACTCTGCCATTAACCGGCTCTGTGACCTTGGGTGAATTTCTTCCTCCTGTGGACCTCAGTTTCCCCACTTGCCCCTTGGGGATGTATACTCACTGTTCTCTGAGGGTCCTTATGGTTGGGAGGGTTGGGATTGTAAATCTCCCTCCCTAGTTACATCTGGTCTGAGGACCCTGTCATACCCTTTGCTGCCACTGGGGGCCAGCATCAAACCACGGATGGGGCTAAGACCAGGCGCGAGCTGGTTAGTTCAGTTGGTTACAGCATGGTGCTGATAACACCTTCAGGGTGATTCGCAGCCCCGTCAGACTCAATACCTCCTTTTAAAACAGTAACTTTGTGAGGCCCCCTTTACTACCCTCAAATCCAGTGACACAGTGGAACTTCCAACAGAGACCAAGCTCTCAGGAAGTCCCCAAATGCCCCCGGAAGGTGGGGGGTGGTATTGCCTCTATTGAGAAGCACAGGCTCAAGGCTTTTGAGGGTGAGGAGACCCTGGTCCAGAGAGGGGGTTGCCTGGAGTAACAATAATGTCCAGCTCTTACTCTGCATGTCGGGTGCATATCTGGGGACTTCATACATGCTAACTCCAGCTCTCACAACCCTGAGGCAGGCACTCTCACTATTCCCATGGTACAAGGTGAGGGGACCAAGCCCGAGGAGGGAAACCATCTGGGCTCCCACAGCTGTCAGGAGCTGAGCTGGGAGTCCAACCCAGGTAGCATGGCTCTGGAGCCTACCTGCTGCCCAAACTAAGCTCCCCCAAAGAGTCATAGGGCACCTCAGTGGCAGAACCGGCCACAGACTTCAACTCCTTCCTCTCTCTCCAACTCAATCCAGTTCAGCTGTCCTCTCTTTAACAGCCAGCTCTGAGTTGCATCCTGCCCTCCTGCCCCCACAGCCCACACAGTGTTCTCCTGCTGCCTGGGCACAGTCCTTAGGCCCCACACACAGCATCTCTCTCCTGGGCTCTCCTAACCTGAAAGCTGGTGATGTCTGCCCTGGGCTTAACACCCCCCTTCCTGTCTGCAGGGCCCTTAGGATAAAAGTTAAATCTTTTTGGCAAGATGCCTTCAGGGCTCTTCAGGATTTGGTCCCATCTAAGTTCTCCAGGCCTTTTCACCAATCTTTCCCATATACCTCCCAAAAGAGAGTTGGAAGTTGTTGCTATTATTATATTACATATATTTTATCCATTTCCCAACCAGTCCCTCCCCTAGAATGGCAGCTGCACCCACCCCCAACCTGATCTGTTAGAATCCTCAGGTAGCACTCACCATGGGGGCCCCACGGTGGCCGATGAGGGCAGGCTTGGGGCCCAGGTCCTTTTTCTCCATGATGCAGGGAGAGGAGATGGTGAGAGGGGCCAGGTAGAGGGCAAACACCACGGCAAAGAAGGTACAGAGAATGGCCACCTGGGAGGCTGCAGACATGGGCCATGAGTGCCCCTGCTGAGCCATTAGGCTCCTGCCATGTCCAATGATGAGCCTTGAACAGGTTGGGTTGGGATGCTGGGCCCCTCTCCCCCCCCCACCTGTCAGGACCCAGGTGCTCTGGAGTGCAGCCCCCATTCCTGCTGGGAAGGTGAATACCTCCCCTAACTCATACACACACACCTGGCCGCATGGACATTGAGCTGCAGGGGAGGGAAACAGCATGAGGCTGACCGAGGTTGCAGCCCTTCATGGAATCTGTGGGCCATCAGAGCCAGAACCCCCAACACTGGGCACAAGGGCAGCAGGTCATCCCTAGACCACCCAGGTCAGGCCCAGGTGAGGGCAGCACAAGCTGGCCTTGGTACTTGCAGGTGTTGGGGGGCAGGCCCTACCCAGTTGTACTCACAAGACCGCTCTGCGCGGGCGAATTGTCCTGCCACGATCCAGGAGAGTGCAGTGACCGCAGCCAGGGCCCCCATGTGCAGGAATGGTGCTGTGCCCTGTGTGTGGGAGAGGTAAGAGGGATCCGTGACTCCCAGCTGTGCCCAGGCCCTCTGGTCACTAGTGTCCTGACAGCATACCTCCATCTAGGGGGCAGACAACCCTATCTCCATTTGCCAACTGAGGATGCTGGGCCTCTCAGGACCCTGGCATGTAGCAAGCTCCCTGCCTCTGACCTGCTGTGTAAGCCTGGGCGCCTCCCTGCTCCTCTCTGGGCTGTGGTCTAGAGAAAGGGAGTGATAAAGGCGCTGCCTTGTTACAAGGGTCCCGGGGAAGCAGTACCCCCACCCCCGCCCCCCACACTCACCTGTAGGGAGATCAGCAGCACCTCCCACTCATCCTCCCACAGCTGGGCCACGGCTGACATGGCCACCACCGTGAAGGCCAGGATGACCATCAGCCCTACCTAGAAGGGGCAAGAGGCACCAGACAGAGGTCAGAGCAAATGTGAGGGTTGCCAGCATGTCTGAGAGGGACTACATGGCATGGGCTGGAAGAAAGCCAAAGACGGGCAGACAGAGATGGCAGTGAGAGATAGAGGCAGGAGGAGGCAGGCAGACCCAGTGACAAAGGGACAGTGAAAACAGAAGAGGATGGAGAGAAGAGATGAGGAGGGAACCACTTAGCTAGTGGGGTCTCCCCTGCACATCCAAGGGCTGCCCAGCACGCCCGGCCTCCTCCTGAAGCAAGACCCTTTCATCTGCAGGACAGATGGAATGACTTGCCCAGGTGCTGGGGGCAGGTGGCAGATGCGCGGTCCAGCCTCGCACGCTGGCTGGGCTCACAGTGATATACATATAAAATACGTTAGGGACCAGATGCTCAGGGCTGGGGCCCAGGGCAAGCTTGGAGATGTGGCCAGTGGGCAGAACTCTGTCTCACTGCGTGCCCTGCCTGAGGGTGAGGGCAGAGACAGTGGCCTATCCATCTTTGCTCCCTGCCAGGTGAGGAAGATTAATTCCTGCGTGGGATTAAGTTTTCTTTTAGAGGCTTGTCATTCTAGTCTATCAGCCTGGAAACTAACGTTCCCATAAGAAAAAGTAACAAAGCTGAGATACGTAGGGGCCTGTCCAGTGTGACAAGCCAGCTCGGGACACAAGGGAAGGGGAGGAGGTGCAGGTGTGCCCGGGGCCGGGTGAGGCACCTCACCTTGCCTTCCGTTTATTCTCCTAGCACCCCAGGTGAGCTATCATCATCCCCATTTTACACACAAGGAATTGAGGCTCAGACAGCCTAGGGGCTTGCTTGGTCCTGTCCCTTTTAAGAGGCAGATCCAGAGCAAGCCCCTTCTGTCTCAGAGGTGGTGCTCTTTCTTGGATGTCAAACTGCTGTCAAGAAGGTAAAAGAGTCTCTGGGGGGCTCGGAATTTCTAACAGTCCCTGAGAACCACGTCCCCTCCTCCCTGCTGCCCTCTCGTGGCCCTGGGAGGAGGCCCTGGACACAGCCAGTGTCTCTGAAGGGTCATTTCTGAGAGTGTCTTATTACAATACTTAACTGCTAGTGGAAATACTTGCAATAAAACTGATTCCCCATAATCCTAAAACAATTAAAAATGTGATTATCCCTGCGTTTTACAGTTGCTGTGGTGGCAACCTTCATGCTCCGCAGCATTACATTACAGAATGCTCAGCATCTAGGATTTCCCCCCTACGTTGTGTCCTTAATCCCCAGCAATGCACTGACTCCCAACAATGTGACTACCATTCCTTAAATCTGACTGGGAAGGATGAACCCTGCCCTAGAAGCCTGGATACAGAACCCTGCCCTCCTCTGAGAAAGTAGTCTTAGTGGGTCTTTCTGTCCTGGTGGGACTGTTGTTGCAGTAGCAATGGGAGGGACGAAGGTTACAGCAGGTACGTTCATTCATTCAGTGAGCCTTGCCTGGGTGCAGGGACCCAAGAGGAGCTAGAGTCCAGCGTTGCAGAGGTGCCACAGGTTGGCCTCTTGGGGGTGTCTAGCCTCTGGGTTCTGTGGTCCAAATGACAGACAGCTGGCCTGGGTTAAGGGCCACACTCCAGGCACACTCCTGGGTCAAATCCTGGCTCGCCTACCTAATGGGGAAGTTAACCTCTCCAGGGATCTTTCCTGACTGTGAAATGGCGACAGAGAGTGTCCACCTGGAAGGGGCGGGGAAAGACGGATGAGAACATGCAAGTGAAGGGCTCAGCACTGTGGCTGGCACCAAGGCCTATGCTTACTAAATGCTGGTGGTATCACTTTAAAAGTGAGCGTGGTATCAAATGAGCAGGATTACTGAGAGGAGCAAATGAAATACTGTGCGGAAAGCACCTGACACCTGCAGTAAGCACCCAGTGAATGAGGGGTATTGCTTTTATGATGAGCACAGTGCCTGGCACACAGGAGGCTCTCAGGGAATGTGTCTTCCTGAAGCCACAGCTGGAGGGACAGAAGCTGCACTCTGGGAAGAACTGTAGGGCCGGGGCCAGCTGCTTGGACAGAAGGCTGAATTCACCAGGAACATGGATGAGGTGGAAATGGTGGGACCGCAAGCAAAGGTGCTGATCATGTCTGGGCTGGGGGCAGGTGTGCCAGCCCTGGCTCAGCCAGCAACTTGCTGTGTGGCTGTGTGGTGCCCAGTGCTCTTCCACAAAGGAAGCAGGCTGGGCAGTGGGCTGCTGTACAGTGGTGAGGGAGTCAGGCAAGGACACAGGAGGAGCACAGTATGCTCAGGGCTATGACAAGGGACAGCCTGGGGAGGTGGGAGCTGGAACTGAAGCACCTCGCACAGGCAGCATCTGAGCTGATCGTGGGTGGTGGGTGGGGCAGGCCAGAGGCACCTCAGGGAAAGGACCAACTATTTACTGTGAAGCCCCCAAGAACCTTCACCTCACCTCCTGGGTCCCTGGACTTCTGAAGGCTCACCTGGGAGGGATTTCTGGGAAACAGGAGTTTGAGGAAGAAGAGGAAGGTCTCCAAGTGGGCACCCGGATCCACTCACAGCACCCAGCCTGCGACCAGTAGGCTCCCCACCCAGTCCTCAGCACTTTGCCCTCCCCTCCTCAGGACGCAAGGGAACAAGAGACTCTCAAAATAAAGATCACGAGGACAACGTACTGAAAACTCTAGCCTTTAAAGCAATACAGGGAACTGGCTAGAACAGAGAGATAAATGAAAATAAGTAAAAAGTTCCTAAAAAGATCTAAATACACTAAAAAATTCAGTATATGATAAAAGTAGCATCTCAAAATAGAGGGGAAAGTATGGATTATTCTGTACAGAAAACTGGGAACACTGGGAAACCACCTAAAAGGAACAAAGTAAGATCACACTATGCCCCAAAACAACTTCCAAAAAGATTAAAAAATTGAAACGTTAAAAAAAGTGGAAACATATAATTACCAAGTGATACCATAGAAACATTTTTTATAATCTTGGAGTGGCAAAGACCTTTCTGAGTCTGACAGAAAACCCACGGGCCATAAGAAGAGATGACAGATTCAAATACTTAAGAATATAAAAAACCTGTATGCCAAAAATACAATAAGTGAAGTCAAAAGATGAATGACAAATGAGATAGAAGTATTTGCAGTTCATCAGCCAAGGGGCTAATTTCCCAAACCTACAAAGAGCTCCTGCAAAATCAAAAAGCAAACCCCATGGCAAAAAGGGCAAAAGATATGAAGAGACACTTTTCTACAAGAAAGGAAAATACAAATGACTCAAATACGTGAAAAATGCCAAATCTAACTCACCATAAGGGAAATGCAAATTAAAACTACAGTGAGGTACTCTTCTTCGCCCATCACATTGGCAAGAGTCGAGAAATCAGCTAACACTTTGCAGGCAAGGGTGTTTTTACAGGCACAACCATACATTGCCAAGGGAGCATGAATTGGTGGCTCTTGGCAAGGAGACTATTTGGCAAGGTCAAAATCATGAAAATACACATTCTTTACCCAGAAATTGCTCTCCCAGGTCACTGCCACACTGTCCTGGCAAAGAGCTGAAAGCAACCAGGATGTCGACCAAATTCATCAACAGGGAACTGGCTAGATACCCAGGGAGTTAGGGAACATCCCGATCAGGCAGCAGCAGCAAGTGATGGACACCAGTGCGGACGCTCTGAATGCACCGAAGAAGGAACGTACCTCTCTTAATGTGCAGAACAGAGGGTGCAGCAGGCTACTATGTGTGTTTAAAGAAAAAGGAAATGGATATGTATATTTGTACATGCTTAAAATATCTCTACAAAGAACGTGGGAAGATTTTTACTGTGTGTTTTTTGTGCCTTTTGAATTTTGAAACATGTCATTGTATTATGTGTTCAAAAATTAATTAAAGCAAAACAAACAAAAAATGAATAAAGATTCCTTAGAATCTTAGAATCAAAAAACAGAATCCTGGCAGTAGAATTTCCAGCCCCTGCTTGAGCACTCTGAGCCCCAGGATCTCCCTCCCTCCTGGCGTGGTGGGCACAGCTATGGGCCCAGCTATGGGTCACTCTACCTGGAAGGACCTTCCTCGTGCTGAGATCCCATGGGAGGGGCAGAGGGGAGAGGAAAGCAGCTGGCACTCTGGGAGCTGGCACCAGCATGGATGATGGGATCTCACTCCCTGCACTGATCTGCCACCTCCACTGCTCAGTGGCTCTATAGGCCTCTCTATTAGGATCAAGCAGATATGACCTGACCTGCTGAGAGCCGAGCATGGTCTCAGGAGGTGGCCACAGTGTGTGCCAGCCCCACCCAGGATGCCTGCTGGTGCAGTTCTTTCAGGTGTCAGCTTGGCAGCTGGGAGAAGAAAGTGCCTCACAGAGGGGACTGTGGAAGTGCAGAGGAGAGCTCAGGATAGAGTGACGACCAGAAGGAGAGTGGGAGGGGACCAAGGGTTACTCGCTGCTCTTTACCCCTCCAAGACTTCAGTCACCGGCTCTGACTGCTAAGCAACAGTCCCCTGTAATTAACTGACCTGGATGCCCCCTTGGATGCTCGTGGGTACCTCCCCTACACATCCCAATTCAACCCACCCTGTCCCTCTTCCTCTTCCTGCTCCATGTCCCCCTTCTAGCTGGAAATGAATCCCTCCCCTCCAAGTCACTCTAGACCCATCTCATGGGCTTACGGTTGTTTCTGGACATTTCTGCCCCTTCCTAAATGGTGTGCCCACTCTGAGAGCCAGGCTGTAAGAGAAGAGAGATGACCCAGCTCTCCCTCCATGGCTTAGGTGTTCCTGGGAGGGCATCTTGGTCAGCTTTGCACTACCCCTGTGCCCACCAGTGCCTCAAGAAGAGCAGGCATCACAACATACATGCAGCACCATGTGTGCAATGAATGGTGAGCCAGAGACTAAGGCTCTAGAACATATGAAGCCTGCCTGCTTTGGGCCCAGCCCTAGTGGGGCATTGGGCACAGGGAGATGGACAACACTTATTCTGGTCTGCAAGGGGCACCCAGGCTGAGGTGGGTTGGGGTCAGGGAGCCAGATGGAAATTGACAACACAGATGCTCAGAGACGTGGCAGAGGAGGCTGCAGGGGCTGGGGGGCCTGGTGAGAGAAGCCTGTGTACATAGGGGAGGAGTACCAAGAAAGGGGTTCAAAAGGCAGTTTACGGGGGCGAGAACAAAGGGTAAAAGTAGAGTAGAGGCAGACACACTGGGAGGGCCTGTGATGTCTCACACAGCAGAAGCTAAGGGTGACTGTCCCATGACAGGAGCTGGGAATCATTGGCAAGGGCCAGATCATGCCGGGTGGGGGAGTTTGGGTCATCCTGGGAGCAATGGGAGTGGTGGAAAAGGCTTTAAGTTGGGGAATGACATTGTCAGATCACTGAAGTACTTAGAGGAAGGTGAGACCTGAGGCAGAACCAGCCAGAGGGCCAGTTACTACAACACGTGCTGAGAACTGTGTGGGTTAATCACATGGCCACAGGGCTAGAAGCCTGGATTTTCCACTTATAAACTGGGAGACCTTGGACAAGTTATTTAATGTCTTTGGACCTCAGTTTTTCCAACTGCGAAATAGGATGATAATAGTATTCACAACACAGGGTTGCTATGAGGGTTAGTTAAGAGACCTTGGACAAGTTATTTAATGTCTTTGGACCTCAGTTTTCCCAACTGCGAAATAGGATGATAATAGTATTCACAACACAGGGTTGCTATGAGGGTTAGTTAAATAAGTTAATGCAGGCCAGGTTGTGAGAACAGTACTTGGCACATGGTGAATGCTCAGGTTAGCTCCTAGAACAATTATAACCATGATCTAGGGGAGGGGTGATGTGTCCAGGCTGTTCCTCTGCTGCCCTGGCATCCACCCCCCTGCCCCTTCCAGCCCAGTGGAGGTGGCCCTCACCTTGTGCAGCCAGTGCAGGTTCATCTGCTGCCCCACGGCAACATGACATAGTGCCAGGACCTGAGGAGGGGCCCAGAGGGTGACAGTCAGGCCCTGTATGTGGCCAGAAGGCTTCACCAGTTCCCCAGACACCCTATTACTCTCCCTCCAGGTGACAGGAATACCCTGCCCAGCCCTGCCCAGCCCAGCCCAAGCCTGGTCTCCTCCCAGATTATTCCAGGCCTCTAGGCTCCTCCTTCTCTGGCATTTCTACCTCAAGAGGTCACCAAGTCCTGCTACACTTAGACTGCCTAATAGAACTCACCAAATGTTTTGGGAGTTCCAGACCCCAGGATTCTGAAACAGACTTGAGCCCTGTGTCCAGGGAGTCCCCAGTCCAGCATGGGGATTGACCTGAGTCTCACTGAGTGAAGTATTTGGAGCAGGATCCCAAAGCAGAGGTTCTTGGAGGAGGAGGAGATATGTGGTGGGGCCTAATATCTGGGATGGCTCTCACTAGGTCAGGAAGGGGCAGCTGAGGGAGACTGGCAAAAGCGAGGTGACCTCCCACCTTGGAGGACTCAGAGGTGCAGCAGCCCGAGGCCCTGGGTAAAGCTAGCTTCACCCTTTAGATGAGGATGGGCCCTCCATCAACCCAGCACAGGCCAAGTCTCCCTTCCCCTGGGAGCAGGGTGGCCTGCCTTCCAAGACAGGCCCACGTACCAGGAGGCCCGCGATGTACGATCACTGAGTGCACTCATCTTACTGTACAGTTGGGGAAACTGAGGGCTAAAGAGGGGCAGGACTTTCTGCTGGTAACTATTCCTGAGAGATGTTCTGGTCCCTCTTATCTCCCAAGTGTGACCACTTTTGGCAGGGAGCCCTCCAGGACAGCAACAGCCCAGATCCCCTCCCCCAACCTTCATCCAGTTCTGACCACCTGGGTCCTGCTCACATCCTCTTACTGCATGAGCTGTCCCCAGAGACTCTCAAGACCAAGAGGGCTGGGCCAGGGTCTCCTGAACCCAGCACTGACTCCACGACACTGAGATGACAGGTTGAAGGAGCTGCAGGTCAGCAGGCATCCCTGAGTCCCAGGCAGGCCCTCCCTTGCAGCCTCCCCAACAGGGCAGGCACCTCTCCTCTGCTTGAGTCTCCAGTGACAGGGAACTCACTCTCTGGGCAGAGTGGGGTGGCTCTGTGCACATGAGACAGTCAGTCAGGCTTCAGTCCCCATCCCAGATCTGTCTGCATCTTGCTGTGTGACTTAGGAAAAGCTACTTAACTTCTCTAAGCCTTGGTCTCCTCACACTGTCCTCAAAGTATGATTTTGGCACTAAGTGGTTGTGTGGCCCAGTCCCCATCCCAGATCTGTCTGCATCTTGCTGTGTGACTTAGGAAAAGCTACTTAACTTCTTTAAGCCTTGGTCTCCTCACACTGTCCTCAAAGTATGATTTTGGCACTAAGTGGTTGTGTGGCCATGGATGAGTCCTGTCCCTCTTTGGGCCTCAGTTTCCCCATTTATACATGATGGGGGGGACCTTATGATCTTCCAGGCATCAGACTTCCAGTTCAGCAGAACTGTCCAGGGTCTGCATCCAAAGGCCAGCAGGGAATGTTTCCCTTTACTTGTGATAGCACCTCTGTGGTGGATACCTGCAAAGTGAAAAATTGATTTATGGAATTTAATAAAGGCCAGAGGCCACCTCTGGGACTCGGCTGGGGCTATGGCTCATCTTGCTGGGCTGCTGTGGAGTAGGAGTGGGACAGTAGCACGTCCTTTATTGTGCTCATTAATAACAGAGGCACAGCTTGATGCTGTGCAGAGGAAAGTAGACACCCAGACTCCATGAACAGAGTCTTAGGATCATCACAGAATCCTGTACTCACAGGCCATCAGAAGCCCAGAGTCCTATAAATGCCAAATTCTAACATCATGGCCACCTTCCAGCTAGAGATTTGGTCTGCCAGAAAGCAGCCCTCACATTTCAGTGGAGTTTTAAGCCCTCTCATATCCACCATCTCATTTCATCCTCAGAAAGACCCGATGAAGTCACAATTACCCCGTTTTATAGAAGAGGAAGCTGAGGCTCAGAGAGCACCAGAGACTTGTTTACAGTCACACTGACCTGAACTTCTGATCAAAAGGAAGAAACAGCACTGGATGGGGAGTGAAGAGGCCTGGTTCCACGCCCCAACTCTGTCCCCAACTGGCTGTGTGGCCTTGGACCTGTTTTTACACCTGTCCATTGTCCCTCCCCTCCTTCCATGGCCTTTTGTTTAACAAAAGGCAGGCAATGGAGGGAAGACAAGGAAGAAACAGGTGCCCATCCTGCACCCAGGTACTGCCTCATACAGCCCTGCCCTTGGACTGAGGTGCCCATAACGGCCCCTGAGCTGTCTCAGAACCACAGCATCTGCCAGCCCTGCCCCGAGCCCAGCTAAAGGAGTTAAGAGGCCTGGGATCTGGGAGCCCTGGCTTACATTCCTATTTTCCAAGATAGCACCAGCAGGAGGGAGTGCCCTGTAGCTAAACTTCCCAGCTTGCTTCAGCTGCTACTGAGCCTTTGTTCTTTCAGGCTCCCCTCCACCTTGGGAGACCAGTACTACAGGCTGAATCACCTATGCAAACACCAAGGGGTCTCCAAGGAGACCAGCAGCTGAAGTTCCACCGGTTTAAATCCCAGCCATCCTTCAAGGCCCATTTCCCATGCCTCCTCCTCCAGGAAGTCTTCCCTAAGCCTCCAGTGGGACTCCCATCAGGACATGGATCTCCCTTTTTCTCTTCATCTTTCTTGCCAGCTGTGATGCTCCCCGCTTTCTACCCATAGTCTCACACCAGCCTCGCTAAAGCCTTGGAAGTCAGCAGGAGAGAGGCTCACAGGGGGTGGGCCTTGCCCAAGGCCACACGGAGAGCTGGTGGCAGAACTCTGAGCGCCAGCCTGAGAGAGAGGCTCAAACCTGAGCCCCAGGTCCCAGCCACTGGGTACACGGGACCCAGGCCCCTCCTCCCGGCACCCTCCACCTCCCACACTCACCAGTTGAATTCGTCATAGTCATTATGGACTTCCCACCAGAAGTAGAGCCAGGTGAGCGTGAGGCCGAAGGTGAAGGTGAGAAGCAGGAACCAGAGGCGTTCCCACTGCAAGAGCAGAGCGAGAAGAGGGTCAAGTGCTGCCTCCCACTCGGAATGCTCCCCCTCCTCCCCTTCTGTAGCAATGCCTCCCCGGCAGGGACTACCACCCTCTTTGCACTGGTGAGACACTGAGGCTCAGTGAGGGGAAGTGAACTGTCCAACATCACGGAGCCCAAAGCCGCAAAATAGTGGGAAGCCAGGAGCTGGGGTCCACCCTAGAGCTGTGCTCTTTATTCTGCAGCCTGAGGTCTTTCCGGTGTGTGCCAGTCCCCCCATTCTGGCGATGGCCCCCAGAGGCAAAGGCCACATCTGCCCTACGCTTTCGCACTGGCACAGTGATCTGCAGTCTGTGAAGTCACAGTCCGCTCCTGTTCCATCCTCACCCATGCCTATAAAGCAGCTGCTCTTCCTTCCCTCTACCCCACATTACCAATAAAAACACTGAGGCCCAGAGAGGCCAAGCAACTCGCCCAAGTCACGCAGCAAGTTAGCAGAGGATTAAGGACCAGTCCCCTGCTCAGTTGGATGCCAGACCTTCAGGGCTGGGCCAGTTTGCCCGTCTGTCTCCAGCCAGGCTGGGGGTGTGCTGGCGGGGGTCGCTGACACACTGCTGCTGCTTCCCGAAGGGCCGGCTCAGAGGTCTGCAGGCGCTTCCGCCTGGGCCCTCCGGTTTATCCCTGCTTTCATCCGTGCCCTTATCTCGGAAGCACAACAAGCTCAGAACATCCTGCATCCTGGGAAACTGCTGAGATCATCAGAACAAGTCAACAGCCACTGAGGGGAGGCCAGTGGGAGGAGAGAACCAAGACCACCCTAACCTTGAGGGCCTGGGGTGGAGGACACATCCCTACCTCTGGAGCAGAGGCAACTCTCACCTGGCACTGCCCAGGCCCCTCGCTGGGCTCCCTGCTGCCCTGACCCCTCCCTCCACACGTGACAGCCAGCTCAGAGCTATGGTGCTACTCCTCGCTGCTTAGCCAAGCAGGGAGGCCCTCTGGGTATGGCCCTCTGACCTCTCCAGCTTCATCCCCACCAACCAGTTCTCTCAACCTGGAAGGGTCACTTCCCCTGGGCTCGTTCCCCCAACATTCCCATTCACCTTTCAAGTTGGCTTCAATGTCACCTCTGTGAAGCCCCCTAGACTCTGCCTTGCTACCCTAAAGCCCTCCTCTGTTCTCCCACAGCATCGGCGTCCCTCTGTCTCTAAACTCACATTCTGTGCACTGTGACTGGCTTACACGACTGTGTCCCCAGATGCCTGTGGGTTCTGCCAGGAGGGGATTGAGTCTGCCTCCCCTCCAATAGCATTTATGACTGCAGGCAGGAATGTGCAAGAGGAGGAGGAAAAGTTCTCTCACTGGCCAGAACACCTCCATCCTTCGCGGCCCGGAGGCCGGCACCTCGGTGGAGGGGTTACACATATGGTGTTTCTGGAGCCAGACCTCCTGGCCGCTTCAAATCCCTATCTACCACTCACAAGCTGTATGACCCCAGGCAAGGTACTCAACCTCTCTGTGCCTCAGCCCCCTCCTCTGCGGTGTTTCTGGAGCCAGACCTCCTGGCCACTTCAAATCCCTATCTACCATTCACAAGCTGTATGACCCCAGGCAAGGTACTCAACCTCTCTGTGCCTCAGCCCCCTCCTCTGTGCAATGACAACAATGGCACTAATGTTGACATGGGAATTAAATGAGACAACACAAGTCAGTGCTCAGAACGATGCCTGGCTAACAGTCAGTGCTCTCTCAGTGTACCTGTCAGCATCTCTGCCTCCCCGACGATCAGTGACTTGGTACACACCGAGTGCCTGGGGCTCGTGCTTGGGTGAGCCGCCGCCACTGCCACTCACTGCTGTGTGCAGAGCTAGGCTGCCTTGCTGAGCCCTGCTTTTAGCCTCACTTTGTTCATAACCAGAGATGCGAAGGTGCTGACACCCTGAAACCCAG